GAGGGCGAGAGAGACAGCGAGATCTTCTGCCTTTAGGTTCACTTCTCAAATGGCTACCGTAGCCCAGTGTGGGCCAGGCCAAAGCCACCAGCCAAAAACTGCTTCTGGGTCTCCCACATGGGTGGCTGAGGCACAAGCACTTGAGCCACCATCCACTACTTTCCCAGGTACATTAGCAGGGAGTCTGATCAGAAGTGAAGCAGCCTGGACTCAAACCAGCACACTTATTGGATGCAAGTGTTGCAGGTGGCAGATTAACCTGCTGTGCCACATCAGCAGCCCCACACCATCCTTCCGTTTTATGGGCTGGCTTCAGAATCCACACTTCAACAGGCTACAACAGCTGCAGCTGTACCTGAGATTTTCCTGTACTTGCAGCTAATCCAATAAGAAACCTTTTCCCACCTAGGATTGTTAGTGTCAGCAACAGCTCCTCGAGAACATGCGTTGAAAAGATATTTCATCATTCCAACAACAGCATTAATGGGGTCTAAAAAAAAACCAATCTCACAAATGCCACAGATTCCAAGGGACTCAGAGTGTCTGCCTATTCACCACCTGACTATCATAGCTTGGGAGCCCATAAGCTGTCCCTGTGGCCATCCCCGGCACCCAACATACCTGTTGCCCCAAAATTAGCCTTTGAAAGGGGCATCATGCTCAGGATGCACAGAGCACATCTGGATTAAATTTCTACTGAGACCCAGTGTGCAAAAATCTTTCCCCTACCACTCTTACACTTTTGTAAATTGCCAGAACAATAACAAAAACGCTTCTCTTGTATTTCACGTTGTCTCTCTGCCCTCCCACATGCAAAGTCTGAAAGACTAGGGAGCGCTAGCCTCAAGAGTGCTACTCTGTTCTTTAGAGATGGTTTCTTTACAAGGCAATGAGGTGGCAAAGGACATGCCTTTCCTGCATACCTTGGCAACCACACACTGCTGGCTGCTGCGCTCATGAATGCTGGCCTTTCACTGCCATCTGGACATGCCCACGGGTATAAACATTTTTTCATGAAGAGGACCAGGGAACACACATTACACCAATAAACTTCTTGAATGACAAACACAGCCATGCCATATGTTGGGGCAGATATATCACATCAGAGTTGAGATAACATATGTCTGCCTCTCATGGACAAGGTCAAATAAATGTCCATTTATACATCCTTCAGCGAATGGCCTGAGTTAGACTGGGGAAAGAAACATATAGAGGGAGGTAGAAAGAGGCTGCTACTTTAAAAAAAAGAAGACCATTGAGTTGGCCCCAATAGTAAACACACCTCTTTAAAGAGTCCAGGGAAAGCCATTCATTCTTCACCCATGCTGCCCTATGTGGAAGCCCTAGAGTAAGGGCTCCTTCCCTTGGCTTGGTGAAATAAGACTGGCACCTACCCCACTCAAAAGCATTTTTATGTTCTTCATAGACAAACATTACAGGCAAAATTCTTAGTATATTTATTTATTTATTTAAAGACTTATTTTATTTATTTGAAAGAGTTACAGAGAGAGGTAGAGACAGAGAGAGACGTCTTCCATCTGATGGTTCACTCCCCAATTGACTGCAATGGCTGGAGCTGCGCTGATCCGAAGCCAGGAGTCAGGAGCTTGTTCCAGGTCTCCCACGTGGGAGCAGGAGCCCAAGGACTTGGGCCATCTTCTACTGCTTTCCGAGGCCATAGAAGAGAGCTGGATCGGAAGAGGAGCAGCCGGGACACGAACCGGTGCCCATATGGGATGCTGGGGCTTCAGGCCAGGGATTTAACCCACTGCGCCACAATGGCGGCCCCTCTTAGCATATTTATAAGAACACAGACTTTGTATTTGATTGGGGGTGGCAGAGGAAAGGATCGAATGAGGCCTCTTTTAAGTTTTCCTGTAAACATGGTTGTTATCAACTAGATAGGGTATCAGTCATATCCTGTTTTAAACGTAATTCTTCAGTGTGTCCACTTTTTTATTTGGATGCTATGAGCCTTGGTATAAAACATTTTAGTAATTTACTAGTTTCTTAGGTGTGATATATTTTATATATCTAGACCATGTTCACTCATAACAGACACAGACAGAAACAAAATACAGAATCCTAGCCACACTAAAGCTTAGACAAGAAAAATAAATTCTCCCCATGAATCATGATATCTCATAAAAGTGGGTTATGGGACATAAATGTTAGGCAAGGAACTGACAATGATATTCCTACTATGACAAAAATAAATAAATAAGTAAATAAATAGCAACAGGAAGAAAGAGCCAAGAGCTATGGGCAGGGAGCAGCCTCGGAGCTTTCCCAGTCTTGCCACTTGTGAAAAAGACACGTCTTCTAGAAGCTTTTATGGATGGATGAAAGGACCAAAGAGATGTCCAGGTACATTTTCATAAAAATTATATCACCCCTAATATCCCTTCCACAACCACTGACTAATCTGGTCTGGTCTCAAACATAACTTGGGAGGGTACTGGGAATTGTGAAATATGTCCTCTTGCCATCCCAAGAAATGGTATCTTAAGTTTTCCAGTTCAGTTAAAAAAAATCTTTGTTAACCAGTTATAAAAATGTTCATTTTCAAGCTATTAAATTGGCCCTGGTTTTTTTTTTTTTTCTCCCACTTCCACCTCCGCCTTTTGCCTTTAAAAGTTCAGGATGTCTCCAGCAGAAACTGTTACATTCTGTCTAGCAAGCCTGCACTGTGGACAGTGATCTAACCTCTTGGAAAAAAACATGGAGTTCACCCAAAAACTGAGAGAGACATTCTCTCGCCCCAGCCGCCAGCTCAGAGGTTTCAAAGCTCTGGGACAGACCTCGTGAACAGCCTGGGGCTCTAGCTTGTAAGCTGGCAGCGCCAACTCAAACACAGAAAGCACTTCAGCAGGTATAAACAGCAGCCACACACCAGGCCAGGCCCAGAAGGCAGGCTGGGAGGGGGGCAGCCAGCCGCCCAACAGGCTCCTGCCTGCGTCACTCTCCCTCGGCCTCCTCCTGTGTCTGGGGACACATGGAAAAAAAGTCACTCTCCAACTGGACTGGAAGTTGAGGAAATCAAAAATCTCAGATTAAACAAATATAAAAATATCTTTCCTCTGAAAAAGAAGGCCTTACTGGTGCACACACACACACACACACACAAACATCCACGCAGCAAGAAGTCCTCTGTAATCATCTTGATTTGCTTGAAAACAGCAACACTGGCCTTTGATGGGGTAGAACAAAAATACAGCTCTTTCCTCCTTCTGCTCATTGGTCTTAGAGTCTTCTCAGAGCCTGGCCTTCCCCAGGGGCCCACCACACCCTTTTAAACACACGTGGCTTTCACTGCACGACACTGATGGCTGGCTTGGTTTGCCACTCTGACATAGCTCTCATCTCAGTGGTTCCAGATCAAGATGCCTGACTGCACATTTGAATAAGAAAAGCGAATAGCCCTCCCACTTCAAAGGTCATCAAGCCTCCTTGTAGACATTAAACCCCCCCCACCCCCGCCCTGGGGAGCACTCCCTCCACCTACTCAGTTTGTAAAGCAAGATCATCCATTGCTAGTACTACTCATTCACACATCAACAGTTTTCTACATTCCATTCCCCTAAGAGAGTTTGTGGGCAAAGGTACCTTCTAATAAGGAATACTGTTTACTTTTAAGTCTACATTTCCTTATACTTGTACTCTATTTTGTATCTTGTTAAAGATCTCTTAGTAACCTCTGTTTCAAAAATTAAAAAATTACTGTCCTGCACTCATTCACTCAAGTAGCATTTATTGAGTGTCTACTGGATGCACTATGTGGCTATTAGATACAACTAATTTCAAGTCCCTATCATCAAGAACCATGGCATTTATGATGATACTTCAAAAGGCTCAAGGCAAGGGATACTATGAAAACACTATGAATGGATTACAACAATGTTTGTACCAAAATAAAATTATATATATATTTTTTATTTGACAGGTAGAGTGAGACAGTGAGAGAGAGAGACAGAGAGAAAGGTCTTCCTTCTGTTGGTTCACTCCCCAAATGGCCGCCGTGGCCGGCACTGCGCCAATCCAAAGCCAGGAGCTTCCTCCTGGTCTCCCATGCGGGTGCAGGGCCCAAGCACTTGAACCATCCTCCACTGCACTCCCAGGCCACAGCAGAGAGCAGGACTGGAAGAGGAGCAACCAGGACTAGAACCTGACGCCCATATGGGATGAAAAAGCAGTAACAATAAGGCCTGGTTAATTTGACTAAATTAGTTTCACCATAAAACTTCTATATTACAAAAGATAGAAACATGTCTTGAGTTCTTTTATGTTTTTGATAATTTATGTCCTTTATTCTTAAGATTCATTTTATTTATTTGAAAGGTATAGTTATACAAAGAAAGAGAGAGGAGGGGGAGAAAGCAGAGAGAGGGAGAGAGAGAGATCTATTTTCCATCCCCTGGTCACACCCCAGATGGCTCCAACAACTGGGCTTGGGCTAGGCCAAAGCCAGGAGTCTGGAACTATATCCAAGTCTGCTATGGATGGCAGGGGTCCAAACATTTGAGCCCTCTTCCTCTGCTTTCAGAGGTGTGTTAGCAGGGAGCTACATCAGAAGTGGAGCAGCCTGAACTCAAACCAGCACTCATGTGGGATTGCTGGCATTGCAGGCAGTGGCTTAACCTGCTGTACCACAATTTGCCACCTACAGCATTTTTCAATAAAGGGCACAGAATCAATTGGACACCCATAGAAGTAAATACAACTATTGACCACTTTCTCATATCACATAAAATCAGTTAAAGATGGACTGTAAATCCAATGAAGAAAGACAAAATAATAAAACCTCTAGTACAAAACAGAGGAGAATGTCTTCATGACTGTAGGCCAAGATCTCTTAAGCAAGACACAAAATGTACTAATTATAAAGGAATATTTTAAAAACAAGAGTTTATTAAAATTAAGAACTAATCATTTATTTCATTTGAAAGGCAAAGAGACACAAAAAGACAGACAGAACTCCCATTTTCTCTCCAAATGCCCACCTCTGCTTGGGCCATATTATGGCAGGCTGAAGCCAGGAGCCAGGAACTCAATCCAGGTTTTTCACAGTGTGGTAGGGACCCAATCACCTGAGAAACTAGAATCCAGCCCAGACTTGAATGCAGGCACTCCAAAATGAGATGTGGGCTTCCCAAGTTGTGTGTCTTAACCTTTAGGCCATCTGCCCCAAAACTTACTAAAGACATGATTAAGAGACAAAAAAATCTCTGGTTACATATATCATAACATATTATACACATGCAAGGATATATATCCAGAAAAATAAAGAACACTTACAAACAAATACAACTTGATTTTTTTTAAAGGTGAAAATGATTTGAAAAGTTGCTTCACAAAAAAAGAACATCCAAAGGATCAATAACCACAGGAAAGATGTTAAACCTCACCAATTATAAGGAAAATAAATATCACTGTGATTTGCCACTATACACCTATCATAAAGACCACAATTTTAAAAATAAGTAATGCCAAGAATTGGCAAGAATATACAACTGGTACTGGCCTCCATTGCTGGCACTATGATAAATTGGCACCATTACTTTGGAAAATTGGCAATGTTGACTGGACACTTACCCAGTGAAGTAACACTTCTACTGAGGAAAATATCCAAAAGAAATATGCATATATATATATATATATATATATATGTTGAAAGGCATGTAGAAGAGTCTTAACAGGGTAACGGTCAACCACATAAAAAAGCAGTGAATGATTTACAGTATGTATATTCTCACAATAAAATACCTACAGATCAATGAATATGGATACTTAGAACAACAAGGATAAGCAATAATCATCTCATACAAACACAGTGTTGAGGGAAAGAACTCAGACATAAAAGGAGATAAAATGAATGGTTGGTGCTACAAATAGGATAGGGCTTAAAGTGGAGTAGGAGAGTCTAATAAGCACCAGTGGGGAATCAAGTGAGGCTGATGGAGTGATGGAAACCCACACAGTCTTGATTGGGGGTTGGCTACATATTTTGTTTCACTATGTTGAGTCAATCCATATAATATGTATGCACCATTCCATATGTCTATGCTACTTCCACTGATAGTTTAACTTAAATAGTGTAGAGAAAACAAATATTCTTTATTCACCAACAAAGGATCTATAACTTGTTCCTTAGAGAGCAATTTGGAAATGCTAAACAATTGAATAATCTGATTTCTATGAGTTTATCACATGCATTTTCATTTGTAATAAGACAATAAAAAGATATTAAATGCATAATTTTTGAAATATTTAGATGTCAGGCATTCTTTTAGAAACTTTACATGTATACATGAACTGATTGATTCCATTAAATCTATGAGATAGCTGATGTTATTTCCCCCAGATTAACAGCATTATTTGTAACAAAAAAATAAGAAACTTGGGGCCAGCACTGTGGCATAGTGGTAAAATGCTGCAGTGCCAGCATCCCATATGGGCACTGGTTTGAGTTCCAGCTGCTCTACTTCCGATCCAGCTCTCTGCTATGGCCTGGGAAAGCAGTAGAAGATGGCCCAGGTGCTTGGGCCCCTGCACCCATGTGGGAGACTGGGAAGAAGCTCCTGGCTCCTGGCTTTGAATCCATGCAGCTCCAGCCATTGCAGCCATCTGGGAAGTGAACCATTGGATGGAAGACTTCTCTCTCTCTCTCTGCCTCTGGCTCTCTGAAACTCTGCCTTTCAAATAAATAAATAAATAAATCTTTTCAAAAATGAGAAACTTAAATAATCCCAATGAGAAAATAAGTAATATATCTTTTTTTAAAAAAATTTATTTGAGAGGCAGAGTTACAGAGAAACGGAGAGACAGAGAGAAAGGTCTTCTGTCCACTGGTTCACTCCCCAATTGGCTACAATGGCTGGGGCTGGGCTGATCCAAAGCCAGGAGCTAGGAGCTTCCCCTGGGTCTCACACATGGGAGCAGAGGCCCAAGTGCCTGGGACATCTTCCATTGTTTTTCCACGCCATTAGCAGGGAGCTGGATTAGAAGTGGAGCAGCCAGGACTTGAACTGGCACCCATATGGGATGCTGGCACCACAGGCAGAGGTTTAACCTACTGTGCCACAGCATTGGCCCAAATATTATATCATTATATAATAAAATGAATGAGGTAAATATATATTGAAGTTATTCTTATTTATTTACAATTAAATCTTATTTATTTACAATTAAAAATACAGACTAAAATTATTATTTTAGAGGTCATTCTGCTTTAAAAGATAAAGATAAGCATATAAGGATACTTCAAAAAGCTCATGGGAAGACAGAATTAAAATATGAGTGTTTTTGTACAAAAACATGCCTTTTTTTTTTTTTTTTGACAGGCAGAGTGGACAGTGAGAGAGAGAGAGACAGAGAGAAAGGTCTTCCTTTGCCGTTGGTTCACCCTCCAATGGCCGCTGCAGCCGGCGAGCTGCGGCTGGCGCACCGCGCTGATCCTATGGCAGGAGCCAGGTACTTATCCTGGTCTCCCATGGGGTGCAGGGCCCTAGCACCTGGGCCATCCTCCGCTGCACTCCCTGGCCACAGCAGAGAGCTGACCTGGAAGAGGGGCAACCAGGACAGAATCCGGCGCCCCGAGCAGGACTAGAACCCGGTGTGCCGGCACCGCTAGGCAGAGGATTAGCCTAGTGAGCTGCGGCGCTGGCCAAAAACATGCTTTTTAATTTGTTTTTTATTCAAGAAGCAAAGAGAAAGACAGTGAACAGAGACATAGATACATACATAGAACTCCCCATCACTGGTTAACTTCTCAAGTGCCTGCAATGGCAGGGACTAGGTCTGGCCAAATCCAGGAGCCAGGAAGTCAATACAGATCTCCCACGTGGGTGTCAGCAACTCAAGTAGTTGAGCCATCATCTGTTGCCTCCCAGGGTGTGCATCAACAGGATGCTGGAATCTGAAACGGAAACAGGACTCAAACCCAGGCACTCTGATATGGGATGCAGGCATCACCGTCTGCATCTTACCAGTAAGCTGAATGCTTACTTTGGTGCAAAAATAGTTTTGAAATGTATGCATATTAATTTTCATAATATGCATTTTCCATGTATCAGAAAAAACTGGTGCCAAAATAAGCTCTAATTTTTAATTCATTTTTAAAGTACCTCATATACATACATAGAAAAAAACCTGGAGGATACAAACCGTTGAACTGTTAAGGTTGCTCTGGCAGGTGGGACTGTGGGAAGTGTTTATTTTTTTTAATTTACACATTTCTCTATTGAAGGACTGCGGTGAGTAATGTATTCTATATATTATTAGGAATAAAAATGTAACGCCATTCTTCAACAAAGGTAATAATACATCTTAATTTGTCCATCCATAAGCTCAACTAGAACTCAAAGGAATATGGAGTAAATAAAGAGAACAAATCACCTTAAAATACAAATAGTAAGGATTAAACAAAATACGTTTCAACATTCATATACCTAAACCCTTTCACATTTTTTTCAACCAGCTCTTGAGAGTGATCTTTAAATCTATTTCCTCTGAATAATACAGGATTATTTTTTAGTATTCTCTGTGAAAAAAAATTATGTCTAAATTTATTACCTCTTTGTTTTAGTAACATTAAATAGAAACTTTAATTCACAAGATTTTAGAGTAAATTTTGTAAAATAATGCAAGTGTAAAAACCATTAGTGGCAACAGCACTCGCTAAATACTGACATCTGACTGTGTGAGAGATCAAGTTTAGCAGCTTTGAGGTATCTACTTCAAAAAATGAAGGTATATGGAAGGAAAATAAGTCCTTGGCACTCAGGTCAACAGAACTTCTACTTAGAGAACTGGCGTTCAGCCTTACCTAACTAAAAAAGAATGTTGTCAAGAGTTGGATTTCAAAATATGTGGGCTAAATTGTAAGACATAAACAGGGTATTTATATGTACACAAAGAATTTAGGAAAATCCATAGCCAGGAGACATGTAATTCAAACTGAAATATTTACAGCCTTTCCTCCTCTCTCTCTCTCTCTCTCTCTGTCCCTCTCTCTAGGTCTTCTGATTAAACAATTCATCAAGAAGATAGATGGCAAGCCCTTTGGTAGTCATGCCTAAAAGGTCAGAAGATGCTGGCCAGAAGAAGGGAAAAAAAGAGAAAGAAACAAAAACAAACAAGGGACTTGAAAGTACTGTGAGAATCCAAAGCCTGGCACTAGATTTGGCAACAGGTGAATTTTCTTTGGAGGGTATTAATTTTGTAAGTCAAAGCTATTAAAACCTGACTTCCCGTTTCACGTCTGGAAGGCATAATGCACGGGCCTCCTGCTCCAGTTCTCCCTAGGGGCTGTATTTTATCCAACTAGTCCCACTCCCTTCACAGACTCATATTTTAAATGCAAGATCTACTGGCCGACACCATTCATTTAGTCTTGCCACATACTGTGCGGAAGTCTATGTCAATGTTAATCTGGCCTTCCCGGATGAGTATACATGCCCCTACTAAATGCATAAAACCACGGTTCCCAAAAATGCCTCATAATACTTTTAAATTTCAGGAAAATGTCCAATATCCTTTTCCCGCAAAACTCAGTTGGAAATAGACTAATTGCCATTCATTTATAAAACAGGCATTCACCACCCTTTATTTTCTGCTTATTCCTTTAAGATGTCTGACTCAGAATCCTTTGAGCACACTGGGATCAATCCATCACATTTTCTTAACATGTAGAGTCTCCTACTCTTTATCCTAAAGGATTGTCTTCCACCTTTTCCATGTTTCCTCTTAAACCTCAATTCCTAATATATTCTGTCTCATCAGTGCCATTGAAGGGGATTAATCAATGACCCTTTCTGATCACAATCCTTCTGCTTGTGTCCCAACTCTCAGCCCCTCTTACCCAATCTCCCTTCTCTTTCCTATATCATTCATTCTTCCCCTCCCCTTCTACTAACTATTATGTAAATAAAACCACTACTCTTCTCATCTTTCAAAACCCTCTCTTGAAACCACTTATCCCCTAAGGTACTGCCCTTTCCCTCTGCCTGCTGTCACAAAACCCCCAGGAGTACTATTTACAGGGGATGCCTCCAATTCTCTCCAGCCATTCTCTCTTCAGCTCATTTCACATCACCACTCCACAAGGACCTGCTTTGGTCAACAGTGCCAAGAACTTCCACACTGCTAGGTCCCACGATCATTCCTTGCTCATCATTTAATTGTTCAGTTGTCAACATCTGATGTAAATACTGCAATGTCCTGAGATCATGTTTCCTCCCTCACTTAACCCAGCTCTAAGACGGGACTACTTTTCTGACTTTCCCTGACCCATCTATTTCTTCTCAGTCTCCTTTCTGGGTCTACGACCTCTCCCAGTTGGCAGTTCCTCAAGACCCCATTGTAGGTGCTGTTCTCTGAGGTTACCTGCCCTCTAGGTAATTTCATTCAGGCTCATGGCTTTAGTATCCTGTGTTTGCTTAGCACTCCAAGATTTGTATTTCCACCCTGACCTCTTCCCTCACAAGCTGCGCACTCGACACCTACCGTGGGTTGATACGTATCACAAACTGAACTGCTAAAAACTGAGTTTCTCCACAGCCAACTAAAAATTGTGCCTCCCATACTCTTTTCTACCACAGTAAATGGCAACGCTATCTGTCTATTGGCTCAGGGCAATTCATCCTGTAATCTTCCTTTGCTCTCCCATCTTAAATACAACAGGAAGCTCCGCTGGATTTAGTTACGAAATATATCCAGAAACCAAGCAGTATTTACCACCTCACCTGCTATTATCCTGGGTCCACATCCCTATCACAATCATTTAGCTTACTGCAAAAAATGCCTAACTAGTCTTCCTATTTGTACCATTCTTTATTCACTCTCCACTCAACACAGCTGACAGAGGCCCTTTTTAAAACACAATGTGTTATGGCCGGCGCCGCGGCTCACTAGGCTAATCCTCCGCCTAGCGGCGCCAGCACACCGGGTTCTAGTCCCGGTTGGGGCGCTGGATTCTGTCCCGGTTGCCTCTCTTCCAGGCCAGCTCTCTGCTGTGGCCCGGGAGTGCAGTGGAGGATGGCCCAGGTGCTTGGGCCCTGCACCCCATGGGAGACCAGGAAAAGCACCTGGCTCCTGGCTCCTGCCATCGGATCAGCGCGGTGCGCTGGCCGCAGCGCGCCGGCCATGGCGGCCATTGGAGGGTGAACCAACGGCAAAAGGAAGACCTTTCTCTCTGTCTCTCTCTCTCACTGTCCACTCTGCCTGTCAAAAAAAAAAAAAAAAAAAAAAAAAAACCCACAATGTGTTATGTCACTCCTCTGCTCAAAACCTTGCAATAGCTCCTTTTGTCAAAGTGAAAAGCATAGTCCTTACAACAGAATTCAAGGACTCCTTCTCATTCTTGCTCCCTTTACCTGTTACCATCACTTAATTGCTGGGTACAGTACTATTCTACCACTTTAACTGTATCATGATTTATCTGAAGCGAAAACTTTCCATTTGGCTATCTTTGATAAAATCTTCATTTCAGAAATGGAACCAAGTGAAATCTTTCATTACTAGACTTGTGTTCCGGACATCTGCCAAGTTAAGGCTGCTGGTTGCTAATACCAGCATAGCTCTGACATGTAGAGCACCTTTTCTTGGAAGTATATTTGGATGACTCAAAAAGTTCATGAAGAAATGGAAAAGCTAAGTTTACTCTGCTGCAGAAAACATTCGAAATCCATGCATAGTGTTTGCATAATGTCATTTTCCTTAAACTTTTTGAAGACCCTCAAATTTCCTAAGAAAATTCTACAGAAGAAAGAAACAACAAGCAGCCCTCCACAATCTTTAAAATTTAGTTAAATGGTACTCTACGATCAAATTGCATGATAATGACACTTTGTTAACTTTTCAACTTGTGTTTTTCTCTAATTATTGGCACCAGGATTCCTACATTCTGTGAACTTCTTGGCAAAAACCACATGTGATGTTTCTTTAAAGAGAGTCCATTACATCCTCTAGATTTGTTTCATTCACTTTTCAAAATTGGGAGGAAAAATCATTTATAACAAAATTGGAAGAAATTGAAGACAGCGCCATTGGCAAAGAATTTCTTAGTGACCTACTTCTTGTTTCTGAATCTGAAGTCTCATTTCTTTAAATAAAGCACTGCTAAAGCTAACCGCTGTTGAATCAGGCTTTGGGTGGTAGCTTCTACCCAAAAGTGGCTGGGCCTGCTCTATGGTCACCAAAACTCTTCCTGTACCTCCGCATGACACTGCCATGCCCCTTGCACTTGGATCCAGTTGTACGGCTGGGTCCTCCTGTGTGATTTTATTCCACAATTCAGGCTGAAGCACTAAGAAAACTCTCATGTGATTTCCTCCATGCCCTCACTTTCTGGCTGGACACAGAAGAGCTAGCAGAAGATGCTGGGTCCTAAAATATAGCAGAGTAAGTCTGGATTCCTAAAGAACCACAAGGCAGACTGCTCACTGGCCAGGAACATCCACTTTGGATCTGGTGTAAGACAGACTTTTACAGAGGCAGCCCACTGAGATTTTGGAGTTTATCATAGCAGTCATTGTTACCTATCTTAAGTAAAACAGTACTAGCAGCTGTGCCCTCAGAGGTAACTGGCATATAGTCCTATCCAAGGCATGTCCTCCAGGTGTCTGGCAAGAGTGCATACAAAACAAATAAACAGCACAACATCCAGAAAAACCGACTTTCATCTGTTTTACTCAATGACTACCACAGCACGGCAGAAGTAAATTAAAGTTTCCCAGAACTAAGGAAAGAGTTTTTACATACAAATTGAAATGATGTGGAATGTAGCTGATTAGTGAATAAGAACCTTTCTTCATTCTTTAAATCAAAGTCGAATTGAATTTTCGCCTTTATGCTCCCAATAGCAATCAGGCTAGTATTTCAGAATCTTTTTCCCAAGAAGAAAGACAACAAAGAGCA